AAATCCACGTTTATTGTTTTTATGAAAAAAATATAGAAAAAAATATAAAAAAAATATAAAATATATATTTTATGAACAAATATATAAAAACAACAATAAAGGGATTAAGCCTGACCATTTTGCAACAACGAATATATATATATTTTTTAATAAAGAATAGAAATATATATTTTTTTAAAAATCCACGATTATTGTATTCTTGAAAAAATATGTATTTAAAAAATTAAAAAATCCATTTTTATCCAATTTTATTTTATTCATAAAAAATATTTTAAAAATATTATGTCTCACTTTTGTTAAAAATATACATTTTTCATGAAAAAGTATATTTTTAAAAAATCCACGTTCGTTTTATTAATGCAAAAATATTTTTTAAAAAATCCACGTTCGTTTTATTAATGCAAAAATATTTTTTAAAAAATCCACGTTCGTTTTATTAATGCAAAAATATTTTTTAAAAAATCCACGTTCGTTTTATTAATGAAAAAATATTTTTTAAAAAATCCACGTTCATTTTATTAATGAAAAAATATTTTTTAAAAAATCCACGTTAGATCTACAGATGAAAAAATATTTTTTAAAAAATCCACGTTAGATCTACAGATGAAAAAATATTTTTTAAAAAATCCACGCTTATTGTTTTTATGGAAAAATATTTTTTAAAAAATCCACGCTTATTGTTTTTATGGAAAAATATTTTTTAAAAAATCCACGCTTATTGTTCTTATGGAAAAATATTTTTTAAAAAATCCACGCTTATTGTTTTTATGGAAAAATATTTTTTAAAAAATCTACGCTTATTGTTTTTATGGAAAAAATATTTTTTAAAAAATCCACGCTTATTGTTTTTATGGAAAAATATTTTTTAAAAAATCCACCCTTATTGTTTTTATGGAAAAATATTTTTTAAAAAATCCACGCTTATTGTTTTTATGGAAAAATATTTTTTTAAAAAATCCACGCTTATTGTTTTTATGGAAAAATATTTTTTAAAAAATCCACGCTTATTGTTTTTATGGAAAAATATTTTTTAAAAAATCCACGCTTATTGTTTTTATGGAAAAATATTTTTTAAAAAATCCACCCTTATTGTTTTTATGGAAAAATATTTTTTAAAAAATCCACGCTTATTGTTTTTATGAAAAAATATTTTTTAAAAAATCCACGTTTATTGCTTTAATGAAAAAATATTTTTTTAAAAATCCACGTTTATTGCTTTAATGAAAAAATATGTTTTAAAAAATCCACGTTTATTGCTTTAATGAAAAAATATTTTTTTAAAAATCCACGTTTATTGTTTTAATGAAAAAATATTTTTTTAAAAATCCACGTTTATTGCTTTAATGAAAAAATATTTTTTTAAAAATCCACGTTTATTGCTTTAATGAAAAAATATTTTTTTTAAAAATCCACGTTTATTGCTTTAATGAAAAAATATTTTTTTAAAAATCCACGTTTATTGCTTTAATGAAAAAATATTTTTTAAAAAATCCACGTCTATTGCTTTAATGAAAAAATATTTTTTAAAAAATTCACGTTTATTGCTTTAATGAAAAAATATTTTTTAAAAAATCCACGTTTATTGTATTCATGAAAAAATATTTTTTAAAAAATCCACATTGTTTCTACTGATGAAAGAATATTTTTTAAAAAAATCCACGTTGGATCTACTGATGAAAAAATATTTTTTAAAAAAATCCACGTTGGATCTACTGATGAAAAAATATTTTTTAAAAAAAATCACGTTCGTTTTATTAATGAAAAAATATTTTTTAAAAAATTCACGTTCGTTTTATTAATGAAAAAATATTTTTTAAAAAATCCACGTTCGTTTTATTAATGAAAAAATATTTTTAAAAAAATCCACGTTTATTGCTTTAATGAAAAAATATTTTTTAAAAAATCCACGTCCGTTTCATTAATGAAAAAATATTTTTTAAAAAATCCACGTTCGTTTCATTAATGAAAAAATATTTTTTAAAAAATCCACGTTCGTTTTATTAATGAAAAAATATTTTTTAAAAAATCCACGTTCGTTTTATTAATGAAAAAATATTTTTTAAAAAATCCACGTTCGTTTATTAATGAAAAAATATTATTTAAAAAATCCACGTTCGTTTTATTAATGAAAAAATATTTTTTAAAAAATCCACGTTCATTTTATTAATGAAAAAATATTTTTTAAATAAATCCACGTTCGTTTTATTAATGAAAAAATATTTTTTAAAAGATTCACGTTCGTTTTATTAATAAAAAAAATATTTTTTAAAAAATCCACGTTCGTTTTATTAATGAAAAAATATTTTTAAAAAAATCCACGTTCGTTTTATTAATAAAAAAATATTTTTTAAAAAAATCCACGTTGGATCTACTGATGATGAAATATTTTTTAAAAAATCCACGTTTATTGTATTCATGAAAAAATATTTTTTTAAAAAATCCACGTTTATTGTATTCATGAAAAAATATTTTTTTAAAAAATCCACGTTTATTGTATTCATGAAAAAATATTTTTTTAAAAAATCCACGTTTATTGTATTCATGAAAAAATATTTTTTTAAAAAATCCACGTTTATTGTATTCATGAAAAATTATTTTTTAAAAAATCCACGTTTGTTTATTAATGAAAAAATATTTTTTAAAAAAAATCCACTTTCGTTTTATTAATGAAAAAATATTTTTTAAAAAATCCACGTTCGTTTTATTAATGAAAAAATATTTTTTAAAAAATCCACGTTTATTGCTTTAATGAAAAAATATTTTTTAAAAAATCCACGTTTATTGCTTTAATGAAAAAATATTTTTTAAAAAATCCACGTTTATTGCTTTAATGAAAAAATATTTTTTTAAAAATCCACGTTCGTTTTATTAATGAAAAAATATTTTTTAAAAAAATCCACGTTCGTTTTATTTATGAAAAAATATTTTTTAAAAAATCTACGTTCGTTTTATTAATGAAATAATATTTTTAAAAAATCCACGTTCGTTTTATTAATGAAAAAAATATTTTTGTAAAAAAATCCACGTTCGTTTTATTAATGAAAAAATATTTTTTAAAAAATCCACGTTCGTTTTATTAATGAAAAAATATTTTTAAAAAAATCCACGTTAGTTTTATTAATGAAAAAATATTTTTTAAAAAATCCAGGTTCGTTTTATTAATGAAAAAATATTTTTTAAAAAATCCACGTTCGTTTTATTAATTAAAAAATATTTTTTTAAAAAATCCACGTTCGTTTTATTAATGAAAAAATATTTTTTAAAAAATCCACGTTCGTTTTATTAATGAAAAAATATTTTTTAAAAAATCCAAGTTAATTGTATTCATGAAAAAATATTTTTTAAAAATCCACGTTTATTGCTTTAATGAAAAAATATTTTTTTAAAAATCCACGTTCGTTTTATTAATGAAAAAATGTTTTTAAAAAAAATCCACTTTTATTGTATTCATGAAAAAATATTTTTAAAAAAAATCCACGTTTATTGTATTCATGAAAAAATATTTTTTAAAAAATCCACGTTTATTGCTTTAATGAAAAAATATTTTTTAAAAAATCCACGTTTATTGTTTTAATGAAAAAATATTTTTTTAAAATATCCAGGTTTATTGCTTTTATGAAAAAATATTTTTTAAAAAATCCACGTTTATTGTATTCATGAAAAAATATTTTTTAAAAAATTCACGTTTATTGTATTCATTAAAAAATATTTTTTAAAATATCCTCGTTTATGGCTTTAATGAAAAAATATTTTTTTTTAAACCACGTTTATTGTTTTAATAAAAAAAAATATTTTTTTAAAAAATCCACGTGGAATCTACTGATGAAAAAATATTATTTAATAAATCCACGTTTATTGCTTTAATGAAAAAATATTATTTAATAAATCCACGTTTATTGCTTTAATGAAAAAATATTTTTTAATAAATCCACGTTTATTGCTTTAATGAAAAAATATTTTTTAAAAAATCCACGTTTATTGCTTTAATGAAAAAATATTTTTTAAAAAATCCACGTTTATTGTTTTCAAGAAAAAATATTTTTTTTTAAAAATCCACGTTTATTGTTTTCAAGAAAAAATATTTTTTTTAAAAAATCCACATTTATTGTTTTCAAGAAAAAATATTTTTTTTAAAAATCCACGTTTATTGTTTTCAAGAAAAAATATTTTTTTATAAAATCCTCGTTGGAAAAATTATTTTTTTATCCAGTTTTTATTTCTATTTTAAATATTTGATTTTCATTTATTTCTATTTTTAATTAAGTATTTCATTGTTAATTTCTTTTCCCATATTCATTTTATTTTATTTATTTATTTTTTCATTTTTTATTTAATTAAAATATTTTCTATTTAATTTCTTGCCATAATTTAACCATATGTTTCTGATGATTGTTGATTTTATGGCTGCTTTGGTTGTCTGTCACATATGTCACATTGCCACTCAGATCCTTTTGATAAGGGAATTCTACTCTCTCTCTCTGTACTTTCCCATTCGGTTTTGATTAAAACGACCAACTCTCTGTGTGCAAAGAGCGTAGCATCTGATTGGGGGTGTTTTGTATAACCATTAAGGAGTTGTTGTTGCTGCTGTTGTCTTTGCTTCCCCCCAAAATACATTGTATCGACGAGGAATGCGAAAGCCCAGCCGATGGCAATGGCTATGGTGTTTGTTTGTTGTTGTGGTTCTTTGCCAATTAGCAAAACCAAAACAATGCAAGTGCGCATGTTTGTTGTTGCTCTCACACACACCGAACTCTTTGAGCAAAACCCAAATGAGCATAGGGAGCATTTGTTTGGGGATAGAGCAAGGCAGAGAGCAAGTGTTTTCCTTTCATGTGGGGGAGCATTGTATTGTATGGTATTTATGGGAAAAGAGAGAGAGAGAGAGAGAGTACGAAAGTAAAGGAACTCATTGTTGTTTTTATTGTATGTCTTTCAATGTGAGACACCAACCATTGAGGAAAATCTGTCAGACATTTGGTCGAATGCAGTTTTGAGTCGTGCGCTGTTATGTTCGGTTATAAAAAAACGGGAAGTCTTGCCAAAGGAACAAAAGATTTTTAATTAACTAAACAGAAAAAGAAACAACAAGAAAAAAACCAATTAATTGTATAAAAGTAAAAGAAACCCTTAATGAAATAAAATTAACAAAAAAAGTGGCAAGAATGCATTAGAAAGTGCCATGAAATAGCAACAAAATACCAAAGAAAAAATTAGTTTTTTTGTTAAAGAAAGTAGGAAATTTTCTGCAAAAGATAAAAAAAGGTGAAGATTTATATTAAAAAAATATTTTAATTAAGAAACAAAAAGAGAAAAATATTGAAGAAGAAAATCGAAGAGAAATATCTGTGTTGTGTAAATCCTTTCTGGGGAAAATTGTGAAAAAGAAGAAAATACTCCACCAAAAAATTACTCAAACTCCAGAAGGAAAAAAGAAGCCACTTTGGTGGTGGTTGGTTGGTTGTGAAGCGAAGTGAAGTTTTGGCCCATGGAAAATTGTTTGTAATGGCCAAAAGAACCCCAAAAGGAAAATAGAGACCAGGAATATTTTTTCAAAATGGGTATTTGAAACAGATTGCAATTTAAAAAATTTATTTTTTAATGAAAATATTTTATTTAAATTTAAAAAAGAATCTAAAAATAAAAGAAATCCTTAGAGAGAAAAATGTTTTTTTTTTCCCAACCAAATGTACATCCGCTTTTGTCTAGCTAAACACGGAAGTGAGGTAATGCCTTCAGCAGCTTTTCCCTTTGGTTGTTGTGGTTATTCTGTTTTTTTTTCCTTCAATTCTCTAAGCCTTTATGACAGACTGAACCCACCTTTTTTTAGCAAAGCAGTGCCCTAGCAGTCCACTGTGTGTGTGTTTTGTGTTTCATTTCCATTATCCTGTATATACCACACAAGTACTGTTGTCCTTGCTATGGGCCTTTGTGTGCGGTTGACAGTGATTTTGTGTGTGTTGTTGTTGTTGTCACTGCCATTCTTGTTGTTAGTTCATTTGCTGTGGCATTAAAGGCCTTTAAATTTCTTTGGAGCAAAGAAACAGCAAAAAAATAGATAGACCGTCACATGACTGCAGTGGTTTCCTATATTTGACCCAATTTTGAAAAGCCTACTCGGTCAGGGTCGTTAATGTTGGGATTTTGTTGAGGCGAATGATTAATAAGTTTTTTTTTCATTATGGACATTATGGAAAAGTCATTGAAAAATCATTTTTCTGTGGAAAATGATATCAGAGAAAATTTTTCCCATAGGAAAATTCATAGGAGAAGTCAATTAGAAAAATCATTTTTGGTCTGATTTTTGTAAAATATTGTTTCACTATAAATCATTAACTTTTTACTTATTTATTTTATTTAAAATCATATTTTAAACAAACCTAGATTTTTTAAACAATATTTTTTATATTTTCAACTAACATGGATTTTTTAAAAAATATTTTTTGCATTTATAAAAAGAACGTGGATATTTAAAAAAAATAGATTTTGCATTTATAAAAAGAACGTGGATTTTTAAAAAAATATTTTTTCATATTTTTAAAAGTCGTGGATTTTTAAAAAATATTTTTTGCATTTATAAAAAGAACGTGGATTTTTTAAAAAATATTTTTTGCATTTATAAAAAGAACGTGGATTTTTTAAAAAATATTTTTTGCGTTTATAAAAAGAACGTGGATTTAAAAAAAAAAAAATATTTTTTCATATATTCAAAAGTCGTGGATTTTTAAAAATTATTTTTTCATATTTTCATCATTAGATCCAACGTGGAATTTTTTAAAAAATATTTTTTCATCATTAGATGCAACGTGGTTTCTTTAAAAAATATTTTTTCATTATTAGATCCAGCGTGGATTTGTTAAAAAATATTTTTTTTTATCAGTAGATCCAACGTTAATTTTGAAAAAAAAATATTTTTTTATATTCCACAAACGTGGCTTTTTTAAAAAATATTTTTTATCAGTCGATTTTTCAAAAAAAATATTTTTTTAACAGTAGATCCAACATGGATTTTTTAAATACGAACGTGGGTTTTTTAAAAAATATTTTTTTATATTTCCAACAAACGAGGATTTTTTAAAAAAATAATGTTTTATATTTCCAACAAACGCTAATTTAAAAAAAATATTTTTTCATATTTCCAACAAACGTGGATTTCTTAAAAAATATTTTTTCACATTTCCAACAAACGTGGATTTTTTTTAAAAAATATTTTTTCAAATTTCCAACAAACATGGATTTTTTAAAAAGTATTTTTTTCAAAAATTCCAACAAAGTGGATTTTTTAAAAAATATTTTTTCAAATTTCCAACAATCGTGGATTTTTTTAAAAAATATTTTTTTCATATTTTCAACAAACGTGGATTTTTTTAAAAAATATTTTCTTATATTTTTAACTATCACGGATTTTTAAAAAGTATTTTTTTATTTTATAAAAAATATTTTTAGCGTCGATTTTTTAAAAAATATTTTTTCTTCAGTAGATCCAAGGTGTATTTTTTAAAAAATATTTTTTTTATCATTAGGTCCAACGTGGATTTTTTAAAAAATATTTTTTATCAGTAGATCCAACGTAGATTTTTTTATTTTTTTTTCATCAGTAGATCCAACGTGGATTTTTTAAAAAATATTTTTTATCAGTAGATCCAACGTAGATTTTTTTATTTTTTTTTCATCAGTAGATATTTGTAAAATATTGTTTCACTATAAATCATTAACTTTTTACTTATTTATTTTATTTAAAATCATATTTTAAACAAACCTAGATTTTTTAAACAATATTTTTTATATTTTCAACTAACATGGATTTTTTAAAAAATATTTTTTGCATTTATAAAAAGAACGTGGATATTTAAAAAAAATAGATTTTGCATTTATAAAAAGAACGTGGATTTTTAAAAAAATATTTTTTTCATATTTTTAAAAGTCGTGGATTTTTAAAAAATATTTTTTGCATTTATAAAAAGAACGTGGATTTTTTAAAAAATATTTTTTGCATTTATAAAAAGAACGTGGATTTTTTAAAAAATATTTTTTGCGTTTATAAAAAGAACGTGGATTTAAAAAAAAAAAAATATTTTTTCATATATTCAAAAGTCGTGGATTTTTAAAAATTATTTTTTCATATTTTCATCATTAGATCCAACGTGGAATTTTTTAAAAAATATTTTTTCATCATTAGATGCAACGTGGTTTCTTTAAAAAATATTTTTTCATTATTAGATCCAGCGTGGATTTGTTAAAAAATATTTTTTTTATCAGTAGATCCAACGTTAATTTTGAAAAAAAAATATTTTTTTATATTCCACAAACGTGGCTTTTTTAAAAAATATTTTTTTATCAGTCGATTTTTCAAAAAAAATATTTTTTTAACAGTAGATCCAACATGGATTTTTTAAATACGAACGTGGGTTTTTTAAAAAATATTTTTTTATATTTCCAACAAACGAGGATTTTTTAAAAAAATAATGTTTTATATTTCCAACAAACGCTAATTTAAAAAAAATATTTTTTCATATTTCCAACAAACGTGGATTTCTTAAAAAATATTTTTTCACATTTCCAACAAACGTGGATTTTTTTTAAAAAATATTTTTTCAAATTTCCAACAAACATGGATTTTTTAAAAAGTATTTTTTTCAAAAATTCCAACAAAGTGGATTTTTTAAAAAATATTTTTTCAAATTTCCAACAATCGTGGATTTTTTTAAAAAATATTTTTTTCATATTTTCAACAAACGTGGATTTTTTTAAAAAATATTTTCTTATATTTTTAACTATCACGGATTTTTAAAAAGTATTTTTTTATTTTATAAAAAATATTTTTAGCGTCGATTTTTTAAAAAATATTTTTTCTTCAGTAGATCCAAGGTGTATTTTTTAAAAAATATTTTTTTTATCATTAGATCCAACGTGGATTTTTTAAAAAAATATTTTTTCTTCAGTAGATCCAAGGTGTATTTTTTAAAAAATATTTTTTTTATCATTAGGTCCAACGTGGATTTTTTAAAAAATATTTTTTATCAGTAGATCCAACGTAGATTTTTTTATTTTTTTTTCATCAGTAGATCCAACGTGGATTTTTTAAAAAATATTTTTTTATATTTCCAATAAACGTGGATTTTTTAAAAAATATTTTTTCTTCAGTAGATCCAAGGTGTATTTTTTAAAAACAATTTTTTTTTTCATTAGATCCAACGTGGATTTTTTAAAAAAATAATTTTTTATATTTCCAATAAACGTGGATTTTTTAAAAGATATTTTTTCATCAGTAGAACCAACGTGGATTTTTTTAAAAAATATTTTAGATATTTTTATAACGTAGATATTTTTAATTTTTCTTCACCAGTAGATGCAACTTGGATTTTTTAAAAAACATTTTTCCATTAATAAAACAAACGTGTTTTTTTATAAAATATGTTTCCATTAATAAAACAAACCCGATTTTTTTATTTTTTTCATATTTCTAATTAACGTAGATTTTTTAAAATATATATTTTTCCAACGTTGATTTGTGTTATTAGCATTTTTTTTTATTTTAAGAATTTTCTCTCTACATTTCATAGAAATAATATAGTTTTAGCTTTTAAATATCAAAAGAATTTTTTGAATATCAGCAAGATTTTAAAAGATATAAGCTATTCTATGAAAGTACTTATTAGCCGAAAGAATTTCAAAAATATCTTCAAAACTTCCAGAGACATAATAACTTTCATGGAAGTACTTTTTATTAATAACAATCATACGCACCATGGGTCAAAGTGTTTATTTCATGAAATACTGGTTATTTCTCAGCATTATCAATGGCAATGTGATTTCTTATGTTAGGGTTCTTAAATAGCAAGATATCCTTGAGGGTGTAAAGACCTTTTTGCCAATAACATTTCAATCAAAAGACTGTTCTGTTATTTTATGTTTTATTAGCATATTTTTCATCGAAAGGATATATTGTGAGCTTCTCATATTTGAAATTATTTTTATAATAACTTCAAAACGGCCAGAGATATAGTGAGTTTTATACAAGTACCTTTTATCAATAACAATCATACGCTCGATGAACTAAAATGTTTATTTCATGAAATACCCAATATTTTTCAGCATTATCAATGGCAATACGATTTCTTATGTTAGGGTTCTTAAATGGCGAGAGACCCTCTAGGGTATCAAGGCAGAAATCCTTGTTGGTAATAGCATTTCAATCAAAAGACATATTTAATATTTTTTCTCGCCAAAAATCCACATAATCTGTTATTTTGAGATTTATTGGT